GGAAACGTTGCACAATGGCAAAGGCCATCGATCCACTCTACAGGAAACTCACCTTATGTATGTGGAAGTCCACCTAATCAAGTGTTGACCGCATACATATCAAGGTCAAAAAGGCCAACATATAATCAACCAAACAGGTTAATAGGCTTTTGAGTTTGTTTACAAAGAGCAGTGTTGTGTGATGAAGGGGAAGCAGCATGCATTACATTGCACCATGAGCTTTGACCCAGTGTCTATAGCTACAAATCCCAGTAATCCCTGAGGAGAAATTAGTATTCAACCATCTGACTGCTAACGACAACCTCACTGCTACAGCTATAATACCAGAATACTAAAACAAGACAGCGTGAAAAAAGGTTGCAGCTTTGTAGGGAGCTTTACTTTCATTTTGTTATCTGTTTTGTCATTTATTGCTGGCTTTTTCCATATCTACCTCCCACCTCCACAGTGCGTGTGTGATAAAGGACTCTTTTTGAAGCAGCCCCCTGACAAAGATTGGATTAACGTCTGGGAGTAATTGCACTGTGCGTTTAAAAATTCAATTCTCATATCGACTTACATGCCCGTGAACCACATAGAAGATAAAAGAAAATATATTCGGTACGACAGACGGAGAGCAGTGTAATCTGAGATGAAAAAGTAAAAAAATACAAGATAAAAATGATGCTGTTTTAGTAACAACTTTTTTAGTTATATGAATGTTAGGACTTGGTGACATTAAATGAAGCAGTGTTTCCCTCAGGTTTTTACAAGACACTGGTGGTGTGACTTTAAAGGAAAAAAATATATAAAATACATTTTTTTGAGTAAATATGCCACGTATTGTCTTTGCCTTAATGCATAACAAGCTGAACAGAAAAATTAAATACAGTTACTCATATATATTTAAGATAATACAACTAGCAAAAAAGGTTAATTTTCCTACCAATTTATTGCTCAGTTTGATTTAGACCAATAGGGGTGCACCGTAGTCTCCTCTATTAATGGGGAACACTGACTGAAGTGCTCTGATTTTTAAAAGTATTAAAATGATAAGCGGTTGTATTTTTCCTTCATTCTGCATATTCTCACCACCATGGTAGCACCAACTCAATTTGGCCATTTCTTCAGAATTTTAGGATAATTTATTTTATTGAACATTGTATGACTGTAATACTTTCCAAATGCTGTTGCTAATTTTTGCATGGAAATTAAGCAGCTATACCATAATGTGATCATATTATTTTTTTCAGTTTTTACAAATAATAACACATTACATTTTTGACAAATTTAGGTAAAATATTATTCTTTTTTGTGAGACATTGTGATAGCTGTCATTGTTAGAAATAAATGGATATTACCTTGCTGGGGCCATGTGGTATTTTCTTCAGTAAATTATGTGTGACACTTTTTCCACTCAACTTCCCCAGATTGAGAAGCTTCGTGCTGACACATGTAATTACCATCAAGGCAGGTGGGGTGGTACAGATCGGAAAGACCACATCAGTGACATACATGGTGTGTCCTGTGCTTGTACTCATGTGCATATAGATTGAATTGGCATGGCAAAGCACATCATGTATAGTAAGTGATTCTCATATGTAACTGACGTTCTCTTCTGTTCTGGAAATTGAGAGTAAACTTAGCCATTTTTATGCCCGTTTCGCTTAACTATAAATGACTCAAGTCTATAATTGAGCCTCCATGAAAAACCTTCCCTCGTCATGCATAATATTACAAACCTATGGGAATCTGCCTGCACCACAACCTCGTGACTAAAGCTAAATCTTCTGACTTTGAACCTCCTTTAACTTTAAACAGAGCCAGGGCAAAACTATATCTGGGATCACACTAATGCACGCTTCTAAATTTAGGTGCCATTTGAAAGGGTATATCTACCTTAGAGCGAGTCACTTCTATACTAAAGTAATTCCTCAGTTTTCATATTTCAAAAAAATATTAACACATTTTTCCAATGCTTTTTATTATCTATTATTTTACCTATTTAGCCGGAATAAATGATTACTTTAATTACATGTTTTAGCCAGATGAACATTATTCAAAAAGGATTATACCATAGTCAAAGTAACTGCCAAAAAAGTCTATTAGGAAATAAATAGTGATAGTGTTCTAGCAGTTGGGATAGATAGTTAAAGTAGCATTACAGAGAAACTCCCTTTTAATAATCCATATTTTTTCACACCTCCAACAGACCATGAAATGACTTGTGCTAGTGAGTCCCACTCACAGCCTGATAATGAGATTAACACGTAGCAACTGCTAGATTTGTTTATTAAATATACCTTCACAAATACATTTTGAAGTTCTGTTTCCTTTTTTCATTCTTTTTAGGTGTCAAACGTAGGGATGCACTGATCCAATAGTAGTATTAGATATCACACCAATACTCAAACATTTGCCGGATCTGATATTGGCTTCCAAATATCGGTTCAGTCGATATCTTGGTTGGACATGTAATCGATGTAACAAGGCTATTTACTGGTCGTAGTTGGTCCGGAAAGTCTCATAATGTTTGGTTTATTTATACAAAGGTGTTCTGTAGTAGCTTGAGGGATAAATAACAGCTACAGCCAACACATTTGGTTTGAGTCTATCTTGTTTTATTTTAGATTTTAGTTTTAAGGGAATGAATGATGTTTTCAATCTCTGTTTCCAGTCTCTGCATACATAGAGAGAGAGAGAGATAGATATATAGATATATAGATATAGAGAGTGGATTTTTTATTGGACAAGTATGTAATTCATAGTAATAGACAAATAAACAGTCATATCATTGTTTAATATTGTTTACCACTGCTGTAATGGTGATTCAACTGTTAATATTAGAGGACTCTCCATTTTACCCATAGCAATGCAATTAAAACAGTGATATGATGGCTCTTTAACTTGCACTCTCCATCACCCTCTTGCAGCACACTCATTGAGCTTGAATATAAATCAGCCATGCTTGTTACAGTAGGCCAGTGAAAGATCAGCACAGCCCCATTCATCATGATCATGTCTGCTCAGGATCCGCCTACTGCACGCTGCCACGAGCACGGTGCTTAGGCTAATGGGTCCGAACACACGGCTACGCTCGGATTTGTCCATCTTGCTCCGTCATCGTTGGTGCACTTTTCATTTTGTTGTGAAGTCTCGGGTAAACGGTTCATGTCATGTAGACACCATGCTTTGGGGAAGGTTCTTTTAAAAGCAGAACATTTTCTCTCTCTTCAGCATTGCACCGAGGCCACAGTCATTTTTAAAGGCATTAGCGGCGGGCTCTCAAGTCAGTAGATTGTAACATATCACTGACTATCTTCCCCCTATGGGCCTTCCGTGATAGATTGGGGGTGCCAATAAGTTTTGTGTGAATGATTGTCTCTGTACCAGTCTCTGTTCTTTTCTTGTTCATTCTGGGGCTGGAGACAGACTCATTCAGATGCCTTTAAAGGTCTCGTACTTTCAATCAAATGCATTTTTACTGCATCTAATTTCAGTCTAGACCACTGATTTATCGATATAGTTATTCTGATATATGGCACTATTATGAACCATTATGCTGATAGCTAGCTGATATCTTGAGCTAAAAAGTAACAGCTTCAACTTTAAATGTGGTGATGTGGTAAATGCTATTTAAAAATCTGCTAAAAAACAGAAGTGCACATATGAGAAATACTAGATATTTTATTTATATTAATATGTTTGGGAAAAGGTATGGTTTGGCATTTTACATAACATGGCTCATATTACACATCTATGTTATAATGTTGTTTCCTCATCAAAACATACCTGGAGTTGGATTTTTTTAAATTCACACACAAGTTTAACACACAAACCCTGCCTATTGAGCTCCTTGTGATGTCATGTGGTAATACAGTAAGTGCTCCACTGTGTTTTAACCCTCACCTTCACTAGAATCATTTCGATACCTTCAGTCCTGGAATAGCCTATCTCTACTAAACTAAAGTTAAAAAGTAGCCTTTAAACTTGACAAGGCATGACAAGGTGGAAAAGAGCATTTGAGATTTGGAGATGTATGCAGACTAATAATTAAGGGTAGCTCAAAATATGTGTTAATGACACTAAACACAACTCTGGGTATGTTTTTGATGAGGTAACAACATTATAACATGAATAAAAGCTCACAAGAGTTGACTTTGTGTAATACGGGACTTTTAATTTGGCATCTTTACATACTATGTAACACCTTGTCATTGTGTGTTTAATGAAAAACTTCCAAGCACACACTTATATGCCATTAGTTAATTGAGTAATTCTTGAGATTTGTTAACTCACTCCTAATTCCTGCTTTCACATAGTACAATAGAGTCAGTTCAAATTGGTTGTCACATTTGCCATCTACTGTTTTGGGTCAAAACTAAAACCTACACATCTAGTATTTTCTATCTCATCTATGTGCAAATGCATCCTGCATTTCCTCTCAACTATCAAAAAAGTGTGGGGGAACGCGTCGATCTGACACCCACAAACACAGGCAGATGAGTGCAATCACTGCCTCATCCACACGAGATGCATTGTTGTGATAGAAGAGCCTGTTGAACACCAACAGCTCCACCACATCAATGGGATTTTGAAAGCCCCTCTTCAGTGGCTTCTCCTGACAAAAACGTTGGCATGAATGTGCTAAAACAGACGAGTGTTGTGAAAATATTGCCAAGGATTTGTGAAAATATTCCTCTTAATTGTTTGGCTGACTCATAATAATCATGGTAAAACATCAGCACTGGCTTTGGTAGCCCTTATAGTGATTTACAGACTGTTCTCTGAAGTCGGGAGGGAGTCATCTCCTTGAATGACTTTTCTTTGTGGTTATTTGTGTTTCCTGATATAGATCATGCATTTGGTGGTAAACACTGTGATGAGTTCTTCATGCTTTTTATTGTGTGAAAGTATTTACCTCTAAATCTGATCCTAAATTAAAATCGATTAAAATTCATCATACATTTCTCTTATCATTACAGGCGTGGCTGCCAGGAGTGCTAAGGCTGTTTCCCAGAATGCTTTTGGCAGAGCACCTTCACAAGGCCAGGCTGCCCACAACAGGCTGGATCCCGGCCCTGGCACTGCTCCTCCTTTTACAGGTACAACTCATCAATTAAAAAGATCTAGTTATGAGACACAGGGGATGACTCACAGGGCTGTGTAAAATTAATTTTCTGTTCCACTATTTTAGGAAGTAAGTTAATTACTTTTGTCTGGGTTGTTTTAAACAGAACAAAGTAGCAAGGTTGTTGTTTATATTACTATTATACATTTCAATCTGCTAGAAAGGAATGTAATGTTTACATAAACTCATACAAATTATTCTTTGCATAGAGTGCTAGTTATGCTGCTCCATCACAAGACAGTCCACTGGTCCGTACCACCAGAGTAAGAAGACAGAGCCCAGGAGCAGACGAGCCCCCCTCCTCCTCCACAGTCAACCAGACGATGAAAGACCAGCCTGTGGTCTTCAACCATGTCTACAACATAAACGTCCCAATGGAGTCTCTGTGCTCTGTGGACCTGGACGCCTCTGCATCCGCCCCCGGCGATGGTGAGTGTATGGAACATGTTCCACTTAAAAACCTACTGCAAGTTTTTATCTGTAATACTGTCTCTAATGCTTCTTTTAAAAAAAGAATAGAACATTTATTTTCTCAAATACAATAGGATTATTATTGTAATTTATTGCAATGACAACATGAACATAATATAGTTAGTTCAAGGCATTCAGTTACTATACACCTACTAATGATGATAACATTCTATTTAAGGGGCTCGGGCAGAGTTGGGATCCAGGCCTGCTGTGGAAGGTCCACTTGACTCAATGGAACCCACAGAATACACAGAGCAAACACTGGACAGTGAGAGTCAGGTCAGTTATTGGTTGTTCCATCTGTGAATCCTATATTGAGTTAAGTTTTACTCAGCCTACTAACACAGTAAAATGGTTAATAATTTTCTGCTGAGTCCAATATTTTGTGGTATATACAGTATGTATTGATTATTTGCTCTGATTAGGTTACATTTACTCATCGCATCAACATCCCAAAGGCAGCATGTGGCTGTCCCTCGTCGGTCACTCTTCAGCAGCTGGTCACTCGAGTGGAGATGTTGGAGAGAGAGGTGTCCATGCTCAGAGCACAGTGTGGCTCTGGGTGTTGTGTGGACAGCACAGCCATGGGTGAGCTCTGTTTAAACGACATCCTGTGCTGTATGTAATAAAGTAATGCTTGGCTCCTTTGCTTATCATCTCATTATACTGATGGTCAGAAAAAGAGAGAACATTTAGTGCTTAAAAATACACAACACTTGCACAGGATGAACTGCGGTTTAAATAATTTCTGTAAATTTGCATAAACGGTAATAAAGACGATTGCTGTTGTCTAAAAGCTCTTTAAATCATTTTGCATTAGTATTCATCTGATTCTTCCATGATTATGTGGGAAACTAGACTGGATAAAGTTATAGGATAGATTATGGTTAAAGGATCTGCTCCATTGACACCATCAAACCATTCAAATATTTTCTGAAAATGCCCTGTCTCTTCAGAGGGAATATGATTATCTGCAGTAGTGCTGATCTGAATCAGAATGAGGATGAAAGCCCAGCTCAGGACGATTGCAGTGGAATAGAAATGCACTAAAATGAGGCAAGATTACAGTCTCTGATGTTCTGACTACTGTTATCATTTCACAGTAGCAAATATCAAGTGGACTGGACATTTAAATTGCTATTAGAATGCTATTTTATATCCAACAATTTGTTAGTGTTGTTTACTTTAGTGGAGACAATTTTGTTCTCATGCGCAAACAGGAAAAATAATACATTTTAGTACATTCTGTGGTAATATATTTGCATATTCTTTTCCTGTTACATTTGGACTCTCAACAAGAACATCAACACACAAGTCCCATTTTGATCATTTTACATATTATATTTCTGTGTGAGAGGGTTATTGCTTTCTTGTTAGTTCCATAATATTTAACTGACTTGTAGATTTCCTTAATTTTCAGATTTTTCTATGTACTGCCTTGGCCATGTATTTTTCAGGTCGTTTGGATGTAAGCTCTAGCTGCAGCGGCCATGGCACCTTCAGCTTTGAGATCTGTGGCTGCATCTGTGAAGAAGGCTGGACGGGCAAGAACTGCTCAGAGCCGCGTTGCCCGGACGACTGCTCGGGGCAGGGCATCTGTGTGGAGGGCGAGTGTGTGTGTGACCGTGACTTCGGAGGGGACAACTGTTCGGAACCGCGGTGCCCGTCGGACTGCTCAGGGCGTGGCCTGTGTATTGACGGAGAGTGTGTGTGTGAGGAGTCCTACACAGGGGAGGACTGCATGGTGGGACGCTGCCTCAACGACTGCTCTGACCAGGGCCAGTGCATCAATGGCACCTGCCACTGTCGCCCTGGATACGTGGGAGAAGACTGCTCTCTTGTTTACTGTGCCAACAACTGCAGCAAGAAGGGGCTTTGCAAAGAGGGCTTCTGTGTGTGCCAAGACGGCTACGCTGGAGATGACTGTAACTCAGGTATCTGATTAAGTATTCATTTTCACTGGGTATAGCAGTTTTCTTACAACACAATTTGTTACTGCAAAGGGGAAAGTTCTCTAGAGTCAAGTGTACTTCCTAAAACTGGTGCTTTGTTAGTTGTCAGCAACTGCCTGCAGAGCAGAAGGTATCTGGTTCAATGCAGCAGAAACATCTCCCAAATCTTTCACCATGCTATTGGTTTGTCTGTTCATTGTACTTTAATGCGGTTTAACCCTCTATTTTGCTTCTGGAAACCAAAAGCCATCTGGCTATAGTGATGGTTAATTTGCCAAAATGGCCTCAAGAGTCACTGTATCTCAAACCGAGACAATTTTTGTTCCTAATACTTTGGGGTGGGCGATATCTCGATATTTTAAATATATTGAGATATTTTTTAAACACAAATTGGATTCTGACATATCGTATACATCGATATAATGCGTATATTTAATTCTGATTTCACCTCTTTGCTTGGTTGCCTTCTCTGTGTTGTGCGCGCCCCTGCCTCCTTGGTTCTGATACCTTTCCCCTCACATGTTGTCTCATTCACTACTCACTACAATACTGCCGTGAATTCTTCTGGCTCCATGAACCTTTTCTGCCATTTACAGACTCACCATCAGCAGCACATCCTCTGTCACAGAGACAAAACACATATTCCACTGAGTTGGGTCTTTTAGTCCGACAGAAGCTGACCATATCAAGGCCCAAGGAGCAAGCTGTTTTTCAGCACTTATAATGTATATAAATGAGCCATGTGGTTTTAAGTTTAGTTTCAGTAAAACGTAAACAAATGTGTGCAAAACTGCATTAAACACATTATAATCTCAAACAGGCTGATGTGGCTCTATAGTAGTTATGTTTTATATGTTGTAAAGGTTAGTAATGTAAAGTTTATTTCTGCAGAACGTTTTAATGAATAATCTGTTGCAGTGTAACTTGTACAATAGTATTTGGAAACAAAGGGTTTGATCTGTGCAGGGGATTATGGGATGCCTCATTACTCCTTACAGCTGATTAGGAACATGGATCTATTAAAATAAGGAACCTCCCGAGCTTCCTGTGCTGAAGGAGCTCATGGTTATGGTTACCATATAGTTAACAGAGTTAATGCAAAGATGAGCTTGATTTGAGTTGCGTTGTTTTATTTTTGAATGAAAAGAAGGCATTATGTATTATTTCTTCCTTTATTTTACAGTTAAATTATAATTTTTATATACATGTTTTTTTGTTTTTTTTAATGTCACTGAAGCACTTTGTTCCTACATGAACTGCCTACCTCTTTGCACTTCAATAAAAAAAGACCTTGTGGAATTTGGCATATTTGTTTTTGTAGTAGTTTTTGGGGAGTTATTTTTCCTGTACAGATATATATCGTATTTAGCGAAATATATCGAGGTATATTTTTGCTCCATATCGCCAGCCCTACTACACTTTTTGAATTGACAATGAAAGAATAAGACACAGTCATGTGCGGGACATGGAAAATCATATTACACACCAATTCCTTCTCCTGTACTGAGTGTTAGTCTGAATGTCTTTGTTCTGTACAATTATAGGCTAAAGCAGTAACACTGGCCACGGATAGTTTGCTGAATTGAGAATGAAGCAGTTCAATTACCTGGGACCAATCTGGTGACAGGTGTAAGTGTTTCACATTATCAGAAGTTGAAAGAAGCTGGATGTATTTTCGCTTCAATTATAGTAGCCTGTATACTCTCACTCAGTAAACCAGTGCTGTTGAATTTAAATTGCAGAATATCTTGACAAAGACCAGTAGAGGTCAGCCTGTGAAGAGGCGTTTAATCTCCAGCTGTGTCAGGTGTTCTGTAATGATTTAAATGAGTTGTGAGTGAAAAGAATAGGTGACACTTCCTGACATTCTCTGCTTGTGATGCATGGGATATTGGTACAGTGACATTTAGATCTGTCTGTGTGATGTGATTGAGTGTTTTTATGTAACCAGGAGAGGAATATAACAATGACCCTCACCCTCTCTCCCCTTTCACATCACTACTCTAAAAACTTACCTCTTGCATACAATCTCATATACCCTATAAGACAGTGAAATATATGCTAATATATATTAACTTTAAATCACTTTACATATGTACCCTTTTACATACTTTTTGATTACTAAAGTTGATATGAAAATGTTGTTTTAGACCCATAGTACAAAACATTGTTGGAAATATTTTAAAAACAGCTGAGCTAACAGTGTTTTGGCAGCCATTTGACAGTTCATCTTTGGTTGCTTTTGAATAATATTTGAATTAAACGCGTTCTGACAGGCGTGGAGAGAAGGACAGCTCGATTCGTGTGGCCCATTCAGTGCTTTGCTTCAGCAGCTTCAGAACCAATACTGTCACTGTGGTTTTCATGTTGGAGCTTGTGACCAACGTCATTCAATATTCAGAGTTGTTCCTCTTTGCTGAATAGAAATTGATTCTCCATTTTGCTCCATGACAAAGCACCTCTGAATATGTGTTCGGCAGTACTATTTTGTTGACCACGTCCAGACACAATAAAGTGGTACGTGAATGAGTGTCTGTCTGCAAGAAAAGTTTTAATGTTGTTCTTTTGTTGTGCATAACAGTATAATATTTGGAGAAAAACAAAAGGAGCTTTGTCACACTGCAGACTTGAGGCTCTGAGATGCAAGAGTCACATCACACACACACACACACACACACACATACACGGGCCTTGTTTTACCAGGTAGTGTTGTATTGTGGCCCGTAGCCTCAGATTGGGGTGCTTAAGGTTCACGTGTACTATATGCTTAGCCTTGAGTGACATGGATTCTATTCCATTGGTAGACAGTGATGAATACTGTTTATTTATTTACACTGTTATCTGGTTGCCCCAAAAACAAAAGCGTAAAAAATAAATACAAACAAACCATAAACAACCAGCCATCATTTTGCCTTTAAGCTTGGCCCTTCTTCCCCATTCAGTCTTATTTTCACAGAGCTTGATAATCTAATAAAATGTCCTTTACTGCAATGTCCAGCAACAGTAACACACCTCATTGTTTCAAGTATAAAAACTAAAACACTGCTTTTTGCTGGCTGTGGGTCCATTCTAACCTTATTAATAGGGATGGGACAAGATCTCGTGCCATAAGATCTCACAAGACTTAAACTGCCACAATTTAGTGCATTTAAATAGTAGCGTGGCTAGTGCAAACCTTATCAATGCAATACATAAAGTGCAAATACTGAAATGTAAATATATACTATAGGTACGGTACACAACAACTTGACATAAAGGCATTTTGGGTTGGACTGAAAAAGGGTTGCATGTTGGTCAGTTACATCTCATATAGTTCCAAAAAAAAGCAGTGCTAGAATGGCAACAAAAATATAAAATTTTATTAAACTGAATTGCACAATTTGTATAGGAAGTATGTTAATTTCTTTCTTTTTTTTCTTATTCTCATTTGCCCAATCTTGTATCTCATCTTGTGGAAATTGTGACTCATCCCACAGCTACTTTTAATGTTTTTTTTGCCTTAAGTTATTATTATACAGTTTATATTACACAGTTTTTGAAGTTTGGAAGTTGACTTACTATAAGGTCATATTGTGAATGAACATAGACCTTGTTGACTAAGAATGCCAGATTGGGTGAACATATACATTTACGTTCTTTGGAAGAATACTTCACATTTCTGCTTGAATCTGAAGAGCACCTTTGTGCCGTAACGTTGAGTGCTGAAGAATCTGTCCTTCACATAATGTTCAAACCGCCAGTCGCTTCGCTGTCCTCTGTGACCTCATTCAGTCTCTCCCCAGCCATCTCATTGATTAGTACACCTACTTTTGATTTATTTCCTCACATTCTTGACAAAGTCTCAGATGTTTTAGTGTGTCCATCTGTCGTGTGCGTGAGGAAGGAGCTGAAATGGCTACTAAAAAGTGGCCAGTGGCTCCCCCAGGATTGTACGTGGTGCTGTAAAGTCCAGGATACCAGCTTACAGACATAAAGAAGAAGTTGATGGGTTGTGTATTATTGCTCCTATATGCCTCTATGGATCTATTGCTTCATGTTTATGCCACATCATACACAAAAGTTTCTCCATTCAGATGATTTACTGCCATCCACCTGTGCAGTGTTTTTTCATACGCCGCACTTGTCCTTCTCTTCCCCTCATCCTCTTACTCCTCATTTCCCTTCACAGGAACCCCCATAAACACTCTTGTTTATGCCACGTCATTCTCATTCAGCACCACCTCTCCAGTTTATGGCTCAACAAAATCCACTTCGCCCTGAATGAGAGGCAGCATTTTCATCACTCGGGCTAACGCTAGTCTCTTGTTGCTAAGTGTCAACATCCTTTTACCAGGAAGAATGTGCAACCCCAAATATAGTCAATCATCCTGTTTTTATGCTTTGATGCCAGCAATTGAAACTTTTTCAATTGCACATTTTCAAAAGCACTGCATGTCAAAACTAAGATAAAACCCGGAACTAAACTTGGATTTGAGCAGGATTTAACAAGGACTAGAACATGACCAATCCAAGTTCACGTAAGGACTAAACTGGGCTCAAACCAAGTTCAAGCCAGGACAAATTACCCCACCCTGAATTCTATTTGAAAAAAAAAAAAAATAGATTTGTGATTTATATTTAAAAAGGATTTTGTTCATAGCAAACTTTGAAATTAACTCCAGGATAATTAACATTTGAAAGCAGACAGAAATATGAACTGTTAAACTAATATAATAATCTCATGAATATCAGAACATGTTTGTCCTTTGCGGAGGATTCTTTATTGTCTAAATAATTGCAACCTGCCTTTGTGATCTCCAGATTAAATTGTGATATAATGTGGAGCCCTACCCTGAAGCTCTTTTTTGTGTGATATTTACTTGAAGGAAATAATAGTTTCAACTTCTGAGTTAGCACAGCTTTTAAAGAGAGGAAGATGAGTGCTTCAATGGGTTAATTAAGCATCAGGTCAGGTGCTCATCAGAATAGCTTCACTTGCAGACATTTAAGTGAAAAAATCTGAGGCACTTCAACTGCATTAAAAAGTCCTTTTAATATACAGACAGGGACTAGCCTACTTGTCTTTTCAGATATTGAAGGACTTTTTAATGCAGTCGGAGCCCCTGGATTTTTTTTTTTTTTTCTTAAATTATTACAACTTTTATTGGTAAATTATTACAACAAAACAAACAAGACTGTTGTGTGAGTGAGAATGTATTGTCATGATACTATAAGAGTTTGATTCTTGGGCCCCTCTCTTTCTTCTCATGCTGTCAAAGTGTCCCAAGGCGAGACAGTGGATAAATAGAAAAAAACAAACGCTAACATATTTAACATCCCGTCAAATGCTCACTGCTCAAGGGGGAATTGAAACTTGCCACAGGCTTTCTGAATTTTACGGTTGCACATCAATAAGCTCATGAATAAATTGTGTTCAAATTATTGTTTTTCAGTGGCACCAGCAATGAACCTGAGGGTACGAGTGGTGACCGATCGATCCATTGACCTGGAGTGGGAGGGCTCAGTCGTACTGACCGACTTCTTGGTCACTTACACACCCAATACCCCTGGAGGTAAGTGCTTTAATGTGGAGCCATTATTTTATTATTAGGCTGAAGAGTGGGAGTGTAAAATGTTGTTTATGCTATGCTAAATATATAAGACTGTATGAGTTCGAAGAAATATGCTATTCTGTTTTTCTACATCAAAAAACTAAGGTATTCTTTGGTATTCATGGTGACATTTGGACGACTTTTCAGAAGATATGTTTTTTTGTTTAGAGGTGTTTTTTTTTTTTATTGCAACTGTGCTAACTTTTCATCCTTCTGAAACCCATGAATAGTGTAATGAATTGTAAAAGGCGTTCTCTTCGACATTCCACAGTAGGTAATCGTCATTGAAGTTAAAGGGCCATGCATACACTATTTTCTGATCTATGTTATAATGCTGTTTCCTCATCACACACATACCTGAAGTTGTGTTTTGTTTCATTCACACATAGTAAAAACACAAACCCTGCATATTTAGGCTGAGTTCTTCTCTCAAACAGAAAACACTCTGTTGTACATTGTGATGTCATGTGGTAACACAAGAAGTGGTCCACTGTGTTTTAAACTCATAGATCTATAATAAGAACTGGATAAGACACGGCACCTTTGGCTGCAAGCGAGATCGATTACTGGCCGCTCCATTGGTACTGCAGCTCCCAGGAGCTCTGGCCCAGAAAGAATTGACCCATAGAGCTCAATGCATTTTTTGTGAAATCAAACTCCCCGTGTTTGGCTGACAGGGCATGGACTGCTTTCATAAAGGTCAGATTTTGTAGGGATTCTTCTGTATTTTTACAATATGAACTTTTTACAATATGAAACTCTAAATCATTAAAGCGCCTAAAAATCAGCTTTGTAAGAGTTAGCCTAGCCCTGCTCTTAGTTGGCGCTATCTCCGTTCTAGCAGCTCGCCCTCTGATTGGTCAGAACTGCACATTTTCAGGAATTAATGCGAAAGTAAAAATCTTTCTTGGGACGATGCCCCAATGAGCACTGGCCATTGAAAGTAATACAACGCCATCTTGGATTCATCTTCCAGATTTTTTTATAGTTCTAAGTTTAAACTCCATACACTTTAACTACAATCATTTGGATGGTTCCAGCCTTGGAACTGCCAGTCTCTACTGAACAAAGGTAAAAGGGAGCTGTTAACTTGAAAACTATTGCTTCATGTCATCACAAGGTGGAACAGAGCATTTTGATTGCTGGAGATGTAGACAGGGTAATAATAAAGGGTTACTCAAACATGTGTAAATGAAACAAAACACAACTTCAGCTCTGATTTTGATGAGATAACAAAACAACATTCTAATATTCTACCATCACTTAAACCTCAAAGAGTCAAATTTGTATAATATAGGACCTTTAAATATAAATTGTTTTTATGTGTATGTATCACAACATTGACTCTTTCTTCACAGGGGTACAGTTGGAGTTGCGGCTGCCTGGTAACACCACCACATGCTCCATCTCAGGGCTGGACGCTGGAATGGAATACAACATAAACGTGTTCTCTGTCATCAACAACAGCATCAGTGTTCCTGCCAGCATCACTGTCTCCACCTGTGAGTGCTCCCCTCTCTGTAACACATGCGAGTGTATGGTCCCATGAGGGCCCTTTAATATTCCTGTTTACTCTCCCAGACAGTAAAGGGAGCATATTAATTCAAGCAGATGCACATCAAGTCTCTCACTATTTTGAGTTGGTGCAACCCCCCCAAACCCTCCCGCTGGTTCACTGTGTCAATAAAGTGAGAATGCCACCTGGGCTTTCTGCAAACTTGTAAATCTGCTCCAACACCTGTTCGGTCTCACTTTTAATTCAATACAAACAAAACAAGTGTCCCATGTGCCTTTTCAAAACAATATTTGCAGTATATTGTAACTTTTTTTTTTTTTATCTAAAAATCTACAATCTAAAAATCTATTTATACATGTCTACATTATTAACTGGATTCTGTGGTTTAAAGGGCCCATACTATTTAGTTTTTTTATCTGTTATAATGTTGTTTCCTCATCATGTGTTTTGTTTCATTGACACACGTTTAAACCACAAACCCTGTATATTACTTTCAAACAGAAAACACTCTACTCTACGTTGTGATATCCTGTGCTGATTCAGGAAGTGCCCCACTGTGTTTTTAACTTCATACACCTTCATTTGGATGATTTCAATCCTGAAATTGCCAATCTTTACTAAAGAAAAGGTAGCTGTTTAGGTGAAAACTACAGGTTCATTACATCACAAGGTGGAACAAAGCATTTTGAGTTTTGGAAATGTAGACAGTCTAATAATAAAGGATTATTCAAATAAGTGAATGAAATAAAACACAATTCCAGGTATGTTTTTGATGAGGTAGCATTATAACATGGTCGCAAGACTTAAGTTTGTGTAATATAGAGCCTTTAAATAACCTTTAAAGGCACCCAAAGTGCTTTACATATTATATTATACATTATACATTACATATTCACTCCACACTTGGTTATGGTAAACTACTACTGTAGCCACAGTTGCCGTCATGTATAATGAGGCTGCCAATCTGTGCCATTAATGATAATAACTACAGTTAGTCAAAGTTATATGCTCAGCTTTATTATAACAAGATCATTTGATGTTTAATTTTTTTATGAAAAAATCAAAAAAGACATGTTTACAATTGAACTCTGTGCACAAGTTGAGGTCTTTGTGATTTATGGTCTGTATGGGTCACTGAAGAACAACAATATTTCTTTTCTCACCTTTTCAGATGTCTCCAGTCCAGATAGTTTAGTCTTCAAATCCATCACCGAGACGTCAGTGGAGGTCCAGTGGCAGCCATTCTACTTTTCCTTCGATGGATGGGAGATCAGCTTTATCCCTAAGGTTGTGTTTTTACCAGTGTTGACTCATTTGTCAGAGTCTGTATGAGTCTACAATGGACTACAGATGACAACTATAGTCTTTGAATTCAAATGAAAAAGTTGAATTAAATACAATCTGCCTGAATAGTGAAACTAGTACTTTGCTAAAAGGGCCCAGATTACTCTATTTTCTGACCAGTGTTGTACTGTAATGTTGTTTTCTCATCAAAAACACACCTGGATTTTTTTTGTTTGTTTGTTTTTTAGTTTAATTTATTCACACATGTTAAACACACAAACCCTGCATATTTAGATTCTTCTCTCAAATAGATAACACTCTGTTACTACCACCTCATGGTGGTAGCTCAACTCTTGCAGCTAGCACTCTGATTGGTCAAAAGTGCATGTTTTCAGGAAGTAATGCAAAAGTAAAAATCTTTTTTGACACAATGCGCCAATGAGCACAGGCCATTGAAAGTAATACGACGCCATCTTAGATTTATCTTCCAGATTTTATTATAGTTCTATATTTATACTCCATACACTTTCACTACAATGATTTGGATGATTCCAGCCCTAGACCTGCCAGTCTCTACTGAACAAAGGTAAAAGGGAGCTGTTAACTTGAAAATTACCACTTCATGTCATCACAAGGTGGAACGGAGCCTTTTGAGCTGTAGACAAATGTAGACAGACTAATAATAAAGGGTTACTCAACATGTGTGAATGAAAACACAACTTCATATATGTTTTAATGAGGACACAACATGGTTACATGGTTAAAAGCTCACAAGAGTCAGTTTTGTGTAATATAGGACCTTTAAAGTGCACACCAAATTAGAGGAGATTTTCTTAAGCGTATTGGCTATTAGATGGATGAGCTATTAAACCCTCTGTGAGGAGAACCTTAGTCAGGCCTGGTTCAAAGTCTGAAACTAAAAGCATTCTGTCTTTAATTCCCAGTGTAAACCCAGGTACTCCAGGCACTCTAATCTCGTGGCCCCTCATAGTAATTGGCTTTCTACTTTAAGGCGTTCTCAGGGGGAGACATCCTTTGGTCCAACCAGAATACAATGCACTTTGTATTTATTCCAAGCCTTTTAAGAAAAAAAGTTCCTTCTAATTTGCTTTTATTGGCTTACTCCTCCTATCCAATCATTTCCTATTGCTTTCTTCTTACCATCGACCTCTTGCCTCCAAACCACTACTTTTACATTACGCTGCCCTCCGCTTTTATGTATGTCATCTCTCTCTCTTTCTAGAGTTATGCTCTTCACTTGTTCATTTTTGCTTCCACGACTCCCCTCCTCCACAAGGGAAATCATATTAGGAGTTGCCTGTCCCACCCCATGTGGATTTAATCCAGCAATGGGGATTGTGAAATTTAACAATCTCCTAATGGAAGAAGGCATGGATAGATTAGCCTGAGGGTTCATACAAAGAATTCACTGCCCTGCTTAGGCTAGGCATGTTTATAACACAATCCGTACACAAAGTGCTTTACTGAATAACGAAGACATTAAAAACACAATATAATCAAATCAACATATAAATAATCATCATAAAATTAACATTAAAGAGAAGGGTGCAGAATAAAAAAGCTCTCAGGCATATGTACAGCTAAACAGAATCGTTTTGAGCCTGGATTTAAACAGTCTAAGTAGAGACCTGTGTTCAGGAAGACTGTTCCATATTATAGCTGCATAAAACTGAAACACTGACTCCCCATGCTTAGTCCTGACTCTGGGCACCAGCAGGAGGCCACTCCCTAAGGTCCTCTAAGTGTGATATGGTTTATAGGGCACTGACATGTCAGAGATGTACTTTGGTGCTTGGCCATGGAGAGCCGCTTTAAAGTCTGTTCTCTGAGCTACAGGAACCAGTGCAAGGACCTGAGCAGCAGCGTTCTGGATGTACTGCAGCTGCCTTACTGCTTGTTTGGGGAGGCCAGTGAGCAGGCTGTTACAGTTAGTTTAACCTAATGGAGACAAAGGCATGGATATGTCTGGTTTAGACAGTATAATTTTGATTTCTGCTTTGACGTATTTTAGCAAATAAATTATGTTTGTGTTAATATGTTTGTTTGTGCTGGTCCCAAGCTAAGAAGGTATGGTTTAGGTATATGCTCATGATTATGCATACCTACAAGGGGGAGTAGTCTACTGTACATTTGATGGAAGAAATTAGTATTTAAGTATTTGGAGGAAAGAATGCCCAGAAAGTTATTATTCAGTAGAAGAAGATTCAATATTAAACAAGAAAGCTACAAAGTTATTTTGATTTATGATGTGAAGACCATAAATGTAATTATACTAATATTATCTAGATTTTTATTAGAAGTTAGTCCACCATTCATCAGTCTTAGTGTTTGAGGCTATTCCTGTTTATGATTAACTTTTTTTTTTTTCATAATGTAAGTGCTAATTACTGTGCCAGTGCTATTCTAGGGCATTTATTAAAAACACCTGAGAATTCCGCCTCTTTCTCCAACACATGAACAAGCAGTACAGTTTCCCTGAAGTGCCTTACCTCAGCATTATAATTCACATGCAGCAGACAAGATGGAGGTCAGAGCTCAGTGGTCAGGCCACATGCAAATGCAAATCTCTATATTTCTCAGTGACTCCAGCTCTGTAGTGTCTTCTTAATCTTGAAATGATGTTAAACGATGCCTGCAGCTCCAACACTGCTCCAAATGCCAGCCATTTTAACTGAACACATACATTCTAAATGGTACATTGAAGGATCCGTCATTAGTGATCTAAAAAGCAATGTGGGATCTTTTTTTTTTACTGATACATATTTTAAAGGTACTTCAAGAGGTAGTTGTTAACATTACATATTTATAATATTAGATTTATGATATTTGAAAGGATATTATGCGGTCTTCTGTTGCCTTGTCTTAAATGAATTTGTATTTTTGTTTGGAGCTTTATTGTTAGTCAGAAGTGTCATTTGTGAGCATTTACCTCGCAAGTTGGCTGTTGCATTTCAAAAACTTAAGTAGTTTTTAATATTTTGCTACTGTCAAAATGAACATTATTTTCTGCATTTGATAAGCCCTTCACCTCACCAACTAAATTTAGTATTAAAAACAGAATAATTCTGGAGTTTCGATTTAACCTTTTTCACAGGGTGAATCATTCCTAATTACAGGTGCACAGGGGGTAACTGGAGGTGCACTAGTAAATTGTTGGGATTATTCTTACTAAACACTTTAATTAAACCAAATAATTACTGAGATTGAACTCCAGTTGTGATACGAGAACTAAAGTTACAGAATGATCCCCAGTCCAATAATTCAGTTATTACATGGATTTCAACTCCAGTAGCTTGTGGAGTTATTGGTAATCACACGGCTTCCTCATGTTAGTGCAAACCTTCACAGAGTGGAGTCGGCAGCAGCATTAGGCCTAACATCTGTCTGTCTGCGGGAAGTGCTCTGAAACTCCCTCTGCCTCAGAACAGGTCCAGCGGCTCCATATGGATGAGGCTCACAATGTACAAAGTGGTGCCCTGTCTGGAATATGCTCTCTGAAAGGGCTCTGCTTGAATGTGTTGATAATTATTTAAGATTTTCACTTTGGGTAACATTTAATTTTACAGCACCCTTATAAAGCAAAGCAAGTTTATTTGTATGGCACAATTCATAAACAAAGTTATTGAAAGTGCTTTACAGAATAATACATAAAAATCACAATACAAACAAATATATACAAACAAATAAAAACTAAAATAATCTCATAAAATTATCATTAAAAAGAAGAGTGCAGAATAAAAAACTTTTATCTTTGATGAAGTAGGTACCTATTTCATTAAACTTGTAACGATTGCTCAAACATTAAACCTTATTTCATAAGATTGTTTAAAAAAAATAAAACTTTTTATGAAATTGTGAAGTCAACAGAAGCTGACATTTACTCAGTGTAAACAGCATGCAGTAGACAGCAGTTCTATTCTTTCTTTATCTCATCATTATGTTTTTCCCTCCAGGACAATGATGGAGGGATGACAGCACAGCTCCCCAGCACCATCACCTTTTTTGTGCAGACTGGTTTGAGACCAGGAGAGGAGTACACAGTAAACCTGGTGGCCCTGAGGGAGCAGGGCAGGAGCCAGCCCATCACTGGCATCGTCACAACATGTAAGTTCCATTACATTTTGGTATTTTTAAAGGTCCAGTATTACACAAAATTGACTCTTTTAAGCTTTATGCCATGTTAGAATTTTGTTACTTCCTCAAAAACATACCTGGACTTGTGTTTTATTTCACATGACATCACAGGGTGGTTTTGTTCCACCTTGTGATGTGATGTAGTGGTAGTTCTCTAGTTAATAGCTGCCTTTTTACATTTTGTTCAGTAAAGATTGACAATTCCAATATAGGCCCTTTAAAGGTTGTAGCTGCGTTACACTGGGCCCATACACATATAATTAATAATTGATAGAATTATGAACCTTAAGATTGCATCACTACAACATGCTGCGTAATTGGCAATGTTGCTGTTTCTGTACACACGCTCTGTAGACCCCGAGTTTCTCTGACACTGTTAATGTCATTGAAGTATGGCTCCACTGCTCACCCGTGTGACTCCACTGGGACAGCTGTAATAGATCCGATTCAAAATGTTCCCATAACAAATTCAGACTGTGGTGTCCGCAGTCAAAACATCATCCATTTCCTGTCAAGCCTTTGTTCCTGTTGTACCTTGTAATTAAGTAAGGATTAATAATTCATGACATTTTATTCATTAATTTTTCACTTGAAGCCCACTGCAGGACACCTTATTGGATAAAGAACAGAGGCAGAAGACAAATCTGAAGTTGCTCAATTATTTAGATGTAAGATTTAATCTTCTGTAGAGAGAACGACAAACCAATGAGGAGTGAAGGGAGGCTAGTGGGAGCAGACAGCTGATGTGGGAGCAGTTTTTTTCCTCTGGGTGTTTTCTAGGACATGGCCCAAGAGACCGATTCCTAATGCAGCACGGATTGAGACAAACCTGTAGTATGTCAGGTCTGACCTGAGAACACAGTGTTTCAGTAAAAGTCTTCTTTACTTCCTGCTGTGCTGTGTGTCTACTACATCTACCGTAAGGCAGAAAATGGGGAAGACGTGTGGCTTATAGATGAGACCAATGTAAATGTTACCTAGATTACATCATTTCTATCAAAATGTTATAGTAATAATAATCACTTCTATGTAAACAGTATTACAGTAAAAAATAAAAACATAGAAAGAGCCTGACTAGCAATTTCACATTTGATTACCATAATTTAGCTAATCATCAGGTAAATGAAAAAGGTTTTTAATTGTTCTGTTCTTAACACCTCATTACCTCAGCTGTAAATCCTCTGCATTAGCACTGTCTCATCTGAGCAAACCCTGAGCCTGTTAAACTCATTGTATTATGTGTTTGCTTCATTACGCCTGATATGTTTCCTATTCTTTAGCACTAATAAGAGTTGTCTTTCAGCGATCACAGTGGAAGAGTCTAATCGTGAACTGTGTTTTACACCTCTCCGATAGAGCCGCTGGGATGTGTTGTGTCAGGCTTGATAACATGCACATGTCTGGCTGTCGGAGAACAGCATTTCCAGATAACAAAATCTACCGCTGAAAAAAGCTCCCAGCAACGGACAAAAATCCCACCAGTTTTTCTAATAAGATAAGCTCTTCAGCCAGAGCAGTCAAAAATATACCTTCAGCTATAAAACTTTTTGATAGGTGTAAAAATGTCAGCGGCACGGAACATTTTATATTAACTTTTATTACGGTTTGTAAAAATGGTACAGATTGGTTGTCACTGGGATTTACACCTGCCAGTTACAGTTTTTGATGGTTCAAGGAAAAAACAGCAGTGAATTATAGCATTACTTGTGGGTATACATTACACATACACTACTCTGTGAAGTGGCTGTTAAAATACATTACAATTAGGCTTGTCTTTGAAGTTAGAGAACATTGATCACCCCAGAGTTCTAGCATTTTTCCTTCTGTGGTAGGAAGTTCCCATTTGCCTTGAACACACCTGTCTAGAAATGTTTTAGAAGAAATTAAAAGTGAAAAACTTAAATGGCCAATGTGCAAATGTATTTATTTGATTTATTTATTTATTTATTTATTTTGCTGCCCCTTGCATTTACCCCTCTGTAAGACTTTGGTGTGCAGTTTCATTTGACAAGAAGATTTTAAAGATGCACTGTGCAACTTTTCTGGTGGAGGGTACCTACTTGTCTCTATGGAGATGTTACTGCTTTCCCTTGAATGTTCCAGGATATGACATTACACATATCCATCCAGCATTTATTCATTACAGGTATTTCTGTTGCTCAAAAATACTCTTGTGAATAGGGGCGACTCTCCACAGATCTAAACTGTAATGTAGCATAGTGCTGGAACCTTTCCTTAACATTTCCCTTGTGCTGAATATAATGTTATTCTGAATTTTTTAATCTATACTGTGGAACATTCTAGACAAAGCAACAACATTTTCATGGAGACAAACAGGTGGTGGACCCTCCATTAGAGATGTTACGCTCTGTACCTTTAAACCATTACATCTCCAAAGTTTCAGCACCACACCTCGCCACTATTCATCATGATTAACCGAGATATTGGTTTTGGCTTTTGGGTAACATCATCCAGTTGAGTTATTTATATGACAGTTTTGAACACAGCATAAAGCATACAATATACATCAGAAACATCAATAGCTCCTGTCAAAATGCTCTCACAGCCTCAGCCCATTGTAAATACTGTGTGTCTTTTGGTGCCTGTTCTTCAGTGATAGATGGACCCACTCAGCTGATCGTTCGAGATGTGTCAGACACAGTGGCGTTTGTGGAGTGGACCCCACCGAAAGCTAAAATTGATCAGATCGTTCTGCGCTACGGCCTGGTGGGAGGAGAAGGGCCACGTACCACCTTCCGCCTGCAGCCCTCACTCAGCCAGTATTCCCTTCAGGTCAGCCCAATGTGTTTGTGTGGATATGCCCTGTTAACCTGCCAAGAACCATAAAGTATTTATTTAGCACACGTTTGAGCATGTTTTCTTTCCATGGTCTACATCAGTGGCTCTCAAATTTTTCACACCAAGTACCACCAAAAAAACATATGGCTTTTCGAGTACCACCTGAGCTAGACCAAGTTTAACAGGACTAAAGGCTTAAACCAGGTCTGAAAGTGGACTATCATTTCCACTGTAGTTCTAATCAAGAAATTATCCATAATAAGACCAAAAAGTGGATAAAATTAACTTTGAATTTGGCAAACTCACTGAAGAGCTGTCCAAATACCACCTGAAAGAGCTCGCATAGCACCAGTGATACATGTACCACAGTTTGAGAAACACTGGTTTATGTTAAATAGTCATAGCTCACTGCTTGTCTGCTGTCTGTGCTGTGAGATAAAGCAGAACAAATGCATAGATCCCTCTTAGGTACTCTCTATGTTTTGTGTTGTACAGGTTCTGCGTCCCGGATCGCGTTATAATGTATCTGTGAGCGGAGTGAGGAAAGGAAACGAGAGCTTAGCCATTTCCACAGAGTTTTCCACTGGTGAGAGTTGACAGCAGTACATGGAGAAATGATTCTGCTGGTGCTATAGAATACAACATTTATGTACTTAAATATGGCCTCATACATTATGTGCATTATCATACACAGAATAAGAAAACAAATCTATTCTAAATTAAGATACTACTAATCCTGATTTAACTAAAAATGTGCAGTTGCCCTTTTATTATTTGGTTATATTTATTCTCTAGCATCCTAAAAGATGCACTGTCACTTTCCTGCTCGAAGGTTCACCACTTTGACTTTGTGCTTTTTTTTTCCTGAAATGTTCTACAGTATGTCATTTAAATGAGCTATTTCATTGGAGACAAGCAGGCCACATCGCTAGGCCACGTTACAGGTCAGATCTGTGGGTGCGCGCGCATTAATAATGCATGATATAAAGATATATTTGTTTAATGCCATACTGTGGAACATTCCATACTGTGGAACATGCCATAACATCACCATGGAGATGGTAGACCCTTGACCAAAAAGGTTACACAGTGCAACTTTAAGATAATGGAATGTATTAAAAGTACACTGCACAAACGCTATACTGTTTAATTAGAAAAAGTGTCAACATTTCTCTTTCAACATTAATAAGATTTGACTCAACAAAAAGTTGATTGTGTAAACTGCTGATGTTTGCTTGTTCACCCTCCCTGAGAATTGGTCTCAGTGTCCCCAACATTGTCAGCTTTATCGTTTTTCTCAGAGATCGATGCTCCTAAGAACTTGCGCCTTGTGTCCAAGAGCTCTACCAGCCTGGAGCTGGAGTGGGACAACAGTGAGGCTGAGGTAACTCTGCAGAAGCACTTGTTTTTTCTTTGTTTGGTTGGTTTATTTTATAATTTCTATTTTAATTCTATTTAACTTTTGTTTTGCTGCTATGGCAGTTATCTTCTTAGTTCCCACACAACTAGTTTCAGTAGTCTAATGAGGACCATTTGGTCTTCCGATAATTTACTTTAATAGAGACCAAAAAATAAGCTATTGGTCTGAGAAAAGAATCTATTAAAATAAGTAATTCAATGTTTTGATGTTTTTGACAAATAGAATTGGGTGGCTTTTCTCTAGTCACTACAGGCAATTTAAGACCCATGACTTTGATATGTCTAAGAACAATTTTCTATCTCCGTAGTGGTTCACAGCAGTTAATTTATCCTTTGATAGACTTAGACACATTTTATTGATCCTCAAGGGAAATTATTTGGACACAGTAGCTCATGCGCCACAATATATTAGAATAACAAAGAGGAAAAATACTAATGGTAATAATAAATTCAAAATAAGTAGCAGAAATAACAAGTAACTGGTATCAAATAAGGCATAATTATATAAATGTATATGTTCAGTACAATAAAAGCATAAATAAAAAATATAGAAATATAGTAATACAAAATATACCTCAGCTATATGCAAGAGGCTGTAAGGAGAAAGAATTGACATGACAGAAGGTTATCTATTACATAAGGGTGAGTTGCTATACAGTTGTATGGAGTATGGAATGAATGTAGTTCTGTATCTCTCACTGTCTGAGCGGAGCTGTAGGAGCCTGTTGGAGAATGAGCTCCTCTCTCCCTCTATAGTCTGGAGTAGTGGCTGAGCAGGAGTGTCCATGATGGAGAGCAGTTTGTAAAGTGTCCTTCCATCCCTCACTAACTGTTATCAGTTACCTTAGCGTTGATGTCTTCAGGTAAACTATTTCACAATGCATCTCTACAGGTGGATGGTTACCAAGTGGTGTACAGCACTTTGGCTGGAGATTTGTATGATAAAGTCACTGTCCCACGCAATGAGGGAGTCACCTCCAAGACCACACTGACAGGTAAAGTTAATGTATTAAATCAGTATTAATGCAGTTGCACTTATACACTATATGCATATTGGACAGTGCCTTGTCAGTCAGGATCATCTCCTCAGCTAAAAGTGGACTGACAGGCTCCTGCAGGAGTCATGACTGTCTGCACAAGCACTTGTTGTCCTGCGGCCATATTGAAAGGCTGTCAGGAAGGAGGGGTCAGCTGGGAGTTTTTTGAAAAAGGCCATAGTGCTGAAAGGGCACAGCTGACATAAGAATAGAAGCAAAAGGTCCCTGTGTTATTCAGTCCATCCAATGCAATCAATGCACTTTCTACTTTCATTCCCCCTCCCACACCCTCACTTTCTTCATCGGCCTATACAGTATTCTTCTTTTGATCAATGTTTGGTTGCTCATATATTTATTCAAGCTGCTTGGGGAATTCTGGAAAATGATGCTAATGTAATCAGTCATGCTGTTAGTAAAAATCGCTGCATCTTCAGAATTTAAATGATGTTAATTTTGCTTAGTCACCAAAGTTGCACTAAGTGGGCTGTCAGACCTCACTTGTGTACAAGGACACACTTTGTCATACTCTCTAACTAGTGCATATTTTCTTTTCTCTATCACAGAGCTTCTCCCAGGTACAGAGTATGGCATTGGTATCTCGGCAATGAGAGGAAGTAACCAGAGCGCGCCCTCAACAATGAACGCCAGGACAGGTACATCACAGGAGAGGGTGCGCACACACCAGGAAGTTATTTTTTAAAAATCCCAAATTTTGAAATTTTGCATAACAAAAAAATATAACATTAAAAAAATAAAAAACAAAACCCTCCCACACCCCACCCTTCTCTCCATACTGCAGAAAGTTACAAAAAAACAAAACAAAAACAATCCATATGTGTTCAAAGTGTTGGAAGTTTTAAAATTTTAACAATATTCTGATAAGAGCATATGTTTATAAGACATTCTTGGGGGCAAAGCTAAATTCATCTTTACAGTTACTCTAGCTTAACTTTGGCTTAATTTCTGTTCAATGAATACTTCCAGTGTTAGATGTTTTTTCTCATAAACAGGAGTCCCTTCATTGGAAGCAGTGTTAGTCCTTTTGGCAATTCTTATTACATTCAACTCTTTCTTAGAACAATGAAACATACATATTACAAGGAGACCTATTGCGAGTTGTGAATTTCAATGGCTAAAGGTGTTTTAAAATTGCTTCAATCCGACAACTCTTTTAAGTCCCATTTCTTCTTTCACCCTTTGAACTTGGAAAGGCACTATATTCAACATGTATTTTCTCAAACAACCTTAAATAATTTCAAAACACCTCCATCTTCCAGGCACAACACACAGCAGGACATAGGTTGAAAGCACCATTTTCATCCTCTAGACAAGGTTCAGTTAAGGCTGGTCTCTTTTCAACTAAACTTTGAAGGTGAATATTGTCTATAGAAATACACAATGTGTTGTGCTTTAGCATTTACTTTTAACTAATGATGTAAACATGCCTTGATGTAGAATTGTACAAATAATTTTCAATTGATGACAATCATCTGGATTTTTTTATGCTGATTGATTTTTTTCTGTGAAGCAGAGCAGTGTAACACCAAGCTTGAGCATGAACATCCTTGTACAAGGCCAAGACAGGAAGTGTAAAACATCCGTTTCCATTCAGAGTGATCGACTGTCAGCTTGTATCACTCTCCCCTTCTCCAGCCATTCACTGCACATTTCTGTCAGCAAAATTTGAGTCTATGAAATGTCCATCAAGGTGAAAAGATGTTTACACAGATTTGTTTAGCAGTTTAAAGCATCTAAACCAGACTCATGTTTTTGGTTTGAGTAAGTCCGCATTTGCTAAACAAGGAAATACTTTTTCAGTGTTTGTTTATTGATCAGGTTGTAAGATAAACTCACACTTTAATACTGCATACATTAACTCATACATACATACATATATACACACACACATATATATATATATATATATATATATATATATATATATATTTTTTTTTTTTTTTTTTTTTTTTTTTTTTTTTTTATTGATGCAATACATTTTACTGATAGTATTTCAAATGTTTCCACATAGGTCTGGATGTTCCATTGGACCTTACTGTCACAGCCTCCACAGATAACACCATAACTCTTGTGTGGGGGGTTGTCCAGGGCCCCATTGACCATTACAAGGTTACCTACATATCGTCTTCTGGCATCACAACCGAGGTAAAAATATATAATGTAATATACAGTATATCAGAGGACATCAATAATGTGCTCCAAGGATGTGACCTTAAGTTGGTTGTAAGAAATGAACATTTTTGTTTTCTTGTAGCTCACTGTTCCCAAAGATGTGACCACGGTGACACTGGTGGACCTTGAGCCTGGAACCGAATACACAATCACTGTGGCTGCACGGAGAGGCAGACAACAGAGCACGGCTGCTACAATAGACGCTTTTACGGGTAAATTACAAAAAAAAAAATTACATAGAAAATTAGATTGCATTTGTCAAAACATCACCTTCAAATGCTGCTTAAACACCTTTTTAAACATATGGCTGTTTTATTTCTTCAAAAAGTAAATTTTCTAGCTCCATTCAAGCTCCATAAAGGACTTAAATGGATTGTATAATGAGGTGGTGTGTGGAGGTAAGGCGACTCATACCAAAAGAAAATCAAGGCCTTAAAGGACTTTGAACGAGTAATTAGCCACGGTAAATTATTCAAGTCAGCTAATGAGGCTTTTACAAGTGTTTTCTAATTGTGCCTCTGTTCTGCATCGAAAGCTGTTTGTGTTTAGCTGTAATTCCTTTTCCAACACCACCACCGGCCATTCGTTCTTGTGTTTAAGCAACGGTACTGTCACGCACAATCAGTGTTTCTCCTGATGTTTTAACAAAAAAAACGCCATTTCAACTTGTACAAAGAATGTTGTCATGGTGACGGGCATCTGCTAACCCGCTGTCAGATCTGTCATTTGTGTGGACGCTCTGTTAACTGTCATTCTGCGTTCCTCTTTCTTTTCGCTGGACTCATCACTGTCGCTGCTGAAATCATCATCCCATCTATCTGATAATGGGAGTCGATTCTTTAACCATCTTAACCATCTGGAGAGGTCTGAGCAGAGACAATGGTGAAATGACAGATTTTAAAGAACAAGAATAAGGGGAAGTAATTGCCCATCAAGCTCATGTCAACTTGTCACTTGGTCAAATTGGCAACATCTGTCAACCGGCACTGTCGTGAACTCTTCGTACAAGATCTTTCTCCAACACAGACTGGCTTGAAAGTTCCTCTGTCTTTGCTTTAAATGTGTGAATTGCCTAACCTCTGAAAGAACAAGTGGCAAAAAATATCTAAATAGTAGCCTGCTAATTTAAATGCTCTTGCCTCCTTCTCAGTTATTAACACTTTTTAAATGTCTCCTCGCCCAAAGTGTTTTGAACAAGCTGAGCAGCCAAACAGTCTGACCTTCATCTACGTAAAAGAACCGTCCCTACCAGCTCTCCAGAATGGAATTTTAGTATTTAGTAAAGTAAAAACAAGCCTGTTGTAATTTAGTTGAAATGTAGTTGTCAGTTTTATGTTTTAATTATGTTATTCATAAACATTGATTTCAGCATTCACACCGGCAGGTTTGAGTGCGAACTGTAACTTTCATATTTCATATTCATTTCAAAGCCCAAATATTGCATTAGTTTTATCCTTTCTGCTCCATATGCCATAGAACCATACTAAGAGTAGTTGCATTACGTTCAACTTTCAAATGAAGTAAACAGTGAGGATTTACATTTAGCTGAAAATATAGTGAAAATTATGGCCTGTCTCTATTCATTCCAAATTAATTTATATTTTTACTGAACAGAATTCATTGCGTTTCTCTCTCTCAAACAATGTCTGCTTTTTGCTTTTTAATCACGATCATAATTTCACTTACATTTTATTTTAATGCCACTAAATCTCATTATTTCTGTCTTTTATGGCCAATTAAATCATTACTGGCACTTCGTTGTGCTCTTTCTCTAACCTACCTCATCAAGATTTCACCCAAGGCCAATTTTCTCAACTGTGTAATAAAGGACCCATCATGGCCGCCCGGACCACCTACATCCATCACTGACTTCCTCCTTTGTCATCTTCATAACAGCAGCAGCATTTCCTTTTCTTCTTCTCTCACTTTTGCTCCTTGTGGTCAGCTCTTTTATGTGTCCTTGGCTGACATTGAAACCTCCGCTCCTCCAGGAATCAGGCCCGTAACTCACCTCTTCCTGTCAGAGGTGACTGCAGACGCCGTGCTGGTGGCCTGGAGCTCTCCGGCGCCCCCTGCAGACCTCTTCATTCTTAGCTACAGCTCGGCCGATGGGACGGACACCTCCAAGGTCACTCTGGAGGGATCCAGGACCAGGTCTCTGGTTCAGGGCCTGCTACCTGCGACACAGTACACCATCAGTTTAATCACTATACAAAGGGACTCTACCTCTGAGCCTATTACAGCCTCTCTCACCACAGGTGAGCTGACAGCAGGCATCTTCATTACCCAATCTGTTCTCACCCATTCAACAAGTTTATTTATCTCATAAAGCATAAAAATGCCTCATTACTTGAATCTGAAAATAATTTTCTTCAAAATAACATTTACCATTGCTCCTTTAACAAATATTATCTCTATAGAAGATCAATAAAAGTTGCTGCATTAAAAAAATTTGATGTTTGGCAGGTTGTATTTTACATTTAGTGGACCTTGGATTTGTACCAAACACTTCATGAAGAGGCCAAAGAGATTTTGCAGTTAGTGACACACTTGAGTTTTGCATTCAGTCTAGTGCAATTGGGTTATATATTTGGCAACACACCAAATGAAGCTCTGTAAATTTGACTCTATATATTTACACAAATAAATGTTTTGTTAGTGCTACATGGTGCGTAGACTTATTATTTCTCCTAAACCTGTCAGGAGTAATCATTTTCCTTGGCACTGCAATAAAAAGCTTATCTCTTCTGGTTGTTTGCCAAAGCAACTTCATAATGTTTGTTTGAAAGTGAAATTACTCTGGGAAGCATATGTCTGCGAGACAGATGAGGCAGTACTAATGATAGAATATATATATTCTACAACCAAAACACATGTATGACCATTAGGTGTTATCTCCATAATGCTGTGTGAAAGGATTTGTACTGATTACTTCATATGCAGCTTTACAATCTTTACAGAAAAACATTATATTTTTTCTTTGAGCTGTCATAGGGCTGATGGTTGCTACAGTAGCTTTCTGACTCCAATCTAAATAAGAGCGTTATCCCTATTAAATCTAATGTAATTGGATATTAGAGGTGTCAGCTATCTTATAATGTAGGTTATTTCAGTAATTGTTTGTGATATGTGTTCTCTTCTTCATTCCTTTTCATGTAAATCTTAAGCTACTCACAGTGTTACACCTTCATTGTAAACAGACAATGGCCCAGTTATGTCATACGTGAATATAGCTCTCAATATCTCCCTTTGGATTTCAAGTATTCTTTCATTCCCTGCACAGAAGGACTCACTCGCGGGTCAGGATTAGGCAAATAGAAAAGAGATGTTGTTTTTTCCAGTAGAAAGGAAAATGAAAAGAGAAAAATAAAGCTGAAGAGACAAAGAGAGAAGTCACCATAGATGGGTGTATTAGTGCGGTGCCAGAGCCAGAGACACCTGCAGTTATCTGATTACTCTGCTCTTTCTATATAAGAGCCTTGGCAGCCTTGAGCCACACTGCTGTCTCCTCTCATTCTCCCGCACACAGTGATAAGCAGGTGGACTGCTATGGATTGGGTAGGGATTTTGAGGCACTGCAGTGCACCTGTCTGTATAATATCCTGTGCAAGATTTTGGAGTATTTTTAGAACATACATTAAGGGTCCCATATTATGCTATTTTCTATGTTTCTATGTTATGATGTTGTTTCCTCATCAAAACATTCTTGGAATTGCCTGTCTCTCACAAGGTGGAACAGAGCAATGTTGGTTCCTCTAAACAAAAGAGAGTTTGAATTATTTGTGGTAGTCCTAGCAGCTACATTACTAGTGGAAGTACATTGTATAAACAGGAGAGATTTATCCATACCAGTAGTTATAGTAGTAATTTTTTCATGAACTTTCTTTATAATCAATCATCAAGTTACACATTGTTTTTATTACAAATATATTTGAATATTTGGACAAAACAATGGATAGTGCTATAATACTAGAACATGTTTCTGTCCTAAAGCCTGTACAAGATAGATGTGCTTATCCGAGTATTTGCATTTCTACAATAATGCATTCCAGCCCTGGGGTCACGTCCATAATGTAATGTAAATGGAATCATATAGTCAATAATGTCAGAGAATTATCATATAACATATGCTTCCACAGCCACAGGTACATTATAGCATTACTTTGCCATTATTCTGTTGTACTCCTTTGTAAGCTATACATCCATCCATGATTAAATAATAATTGCTGAATTCTATCCAGGAACTGTTTAATTAGATCTAAGCTTTGAATTATAAATGGGACAGCTGCTCATTCAGAATAACAATTTTCTCTCAAACATACAGTATTACCAAGGCATTCCCCACTTTTCTCTTTTAAAACTCTCAATCCTTGTCCAGTTCTTTCCCATTTCTATTTAGCACTTGGGAGCTGATATCTTTTAATTACTGCATTTGCCCACATTGTTTTGGCCATAACCTTTGCAGCGCCGCTCTGTTGTCTCTAGAGCCACATAACACAAAACGGGAGCGCCGAGGGAATACTCTGAGCAGACCTGGCTCTGTCACAGACCTCTCATTGTGTTTTTATGGCTGGATGATCAGGCTTTACTTGCACAAAATCTGCTACTTCCTAAGATACATTTGCACACTCATACTTACACTAAGCACAACACAAAGGTTTGTTTATGTAAAATGGATGAAAGAGGGATTTAAGGTGTAGGAAAATAACGAGTAAGGATAAAGTCGTCTCTTTTTTCAAGAGCACAAAGACTCAGGATTACTTAAATGTATTCTTAAGGTAAAACATTGAACTTTTCATTCTCCTTCCAGTCCAGCACTTTAATTCAGTGAGGAAATTCATAGTTCTTGGTATATATTTTTTTCTTCAAACCATTAATTAACTGTCAACTCCAGGACATTCTCACATTTTTTCACATATCAAACATTACTTACTGTGCCTGCCAAGCGTACTTAATCAAGTTAATGTAATATGCATTAGTTTGGATATTAGATGACTCTTCTTTGTCCTCTTCCAGGTACAGACCCACCCAAAGAGCTGCTGGTGTCTGATGTGACAGAAGACTCTGTGACCCTTTCCTGGATCACACCATTGGCTCCTTTCAAGTACTACAAACTGTCTTATCTCTCAGCCCAAGGTATCATATAATTTTAAATATCAGTTTTCCGTTAAAGTGCCTTAGACAGGTCAGATTGCTAATGTCACAAAAACATAGTTAATACAATTGTATCAATTATATATTTAACAAAAAAAATATTAAGTACATTTATTTAGTTTTTTATATAATATAATTTTATACTTGGTTACATGGGAAGGAGATATGACATATATTAAATGAATGTTCAAAGTTGGTTGCATAGCTATGGTTATTCCTTTTTAAAACTCATTCCTACTCTCTATATTTTTTGTAATGTATTCTTTTGTAACTGTTTCCACAAACTGATTTAGAAACATGATACATTTTCACCACAGATACTATCAAAAACTAGCCTGATTCATCAGCCGGGTTCACTTCATAGAAACTGTCTGACCTTGCAGCGTTAGAGTTTGTTCTCTTGACGGTAGGCAGGTACTTTTTTAAATTTAACTAATCGCTGCTATTTGGTCATGACATATGTAATGCGCCGCTAACAGGGCTAACTGGTATATTATGCTTTTCCCAAATCCCATAGGAAGAAAGGCAATAAAATCTCTTAGTCTTTCCCCTTGATAAAATTCACCAAACATTCTCTTTGTTCCGGCTTTAAATCCTTGATCTCGGGAATTGCTTGCCAACACAGAATGTATGGTTCTTCGCTGACTGGCTGGTACCCAAACTGGCACTTTCGGGGTTTTTGCGAACCGTCTAGTGTATTCCGATTCCTGACCTAGTCTCTGGAGAGAAATGAAATTGAGCAGAGGTACTAGGTGGCACCAGCCTGGCTAATCACAAACCAAGTAAAAAAACAAACCAAAAAAAAAACCAAAAACATGAAAACCTGTCCTGTTCACTTACTCACTCACTGTATCTAAGCTCTTATATTGTACCCACTAGCTCCCTGGTGTCTGTGTATTCTCATGTGTGTTGTCATGTGGTGCAGGGCGAGAGGACAGCATGATGATTGACAGTGATGTGAACAACTACACCTTGTCCAGTCTGTTCCCGGCCACAGAGTACGAGATCAGCCTGACTGCTGTTCGTGAAAACCAGGAGAGCAAGGCGGTTAGCACCTCTGTGTTTACAGGTGAGTAGCTCATACTGGCCAACCACTCACAAAATATTACACACATATTTACAAACATTTTAGTTATTTTTATCATCCATTTACAACTATAACAAGTACCATGTCATATGATAAAACATGACATGGAAGTGTAGTGTAGGACAGGCCTGTCACAAGAACACATTTTGAAGTGTGATTGTTGAAGTACATATAGACAATAAATGATAACTCTAGAGTAGATATAAACCCTCCCAAAAATCTAAATGTACAGTATCATTAAAAACCATGAGATGCATCAAATAAGTAGCAGAAGGAAACACTTCAGAACTTAGTTTTCATCTGTAAATGTCATGGAAAATATTAATTAAATATTTTTTACTTAAAGGTGCATTGTGTAACTGTTACAACTCAGGTGGATAAAACATATTAAAGAGGACACAGGAGGCAAAAGGGTTACAAAATTAAAAGTTTTTTTTATTTTTTATTATTTTTAAGTTCATTTTAATTTACTCTAAAAACGCTAAAACCCTTTCCATGCCCAAAAACCAAGTAACAACTGAAAGATGGACCTGGTGAGCTGGCCAAACAGAACAAAACCGGTACCGACACCACTATCCTAAAAAAGACATCCCCAAACTAACCTTACCAAACAAAAGACGAAAACAGGACAGCCCGTCCCACCAGGTCAAACACAAAAGGCTAACTGCATCTAACAGGCATGGTGCAGCCTGCGCCTAGCAGCCAAGGCAAGGCAATGAGCATGTGCCCAGGTGCGCAATGGGCGAGGCGGTGCACAGCGAGAGCGCAGGAGCAAGAGAGCGCATCACTAATAGGCGGCCTATTTATATTACGACCAGCCAAACCACAAAACATACATAAGTATAAAAATACACACAAGGGGATGCGCAAAGGGGCGCCAGCACGTAACAGTAACTTTTATGGTGGGTGCGGTGGGGAAGGTCTGTCACCTGCCTGTTTTCATGGAGATGTTATTGCTCTGCCTGGGGTCTTCACTGTATGACATTAAACACCTCTACCTTTTATTTAATCACAGGTGGTTATATAGTGTAGCTCAAAAATATGTAGAAAAACAGGCTTTCTGACTGTGAGCAGGGCTGCTTCTCCACAGATCTAAGCTGTAACTTTGTCTGGTTTGGTTTCCATGGAGATAGAAAGGTTTAATACCGCACTGTGAAACATTCCAGACAAAGCAATAACATCTCAATGGAAAAAGCATTTGACAGACTCTCTGTCAAAGAAGTTACACATTGCACCTTTAAATGTTATCATATAGCCAAAAAATAACCCAAAAAAATCCCTGCATTGCAAAATGTGCATACAATAAATACTGACCCCAAAAAAAATGTTGTTCCAGTTTTCATATATTGTATATATTACACATATTGTTGTCCATATAGTAAATATTGTGACAGGCCTAGTATAGGACAACTGAAACCCTACTATAATTGGTATATCTTTCCCCCTTCATGTGTATGCACCTCTGAATGCCTCTGTCCTTGTTTAGACTCCACTGCACTTCATTAGCACTTTCCTTAATTGCCTCGGTCTCTGAACTGTTAAGATAGCCTTGAAACACAAGTTTGAGAACCCCAGTTTTATATCATTTTCAGATAGCTCTAGCCTTTGTGGAAGCGCGAAGATTAACACACTCTCCTGGCACTGTATGCATAATCTCCAGTGTGAGAGATGAGGAGCAAGCAGGAGAGCTTTGGAGAGGACAGGACAGGAGGGAACCAGAGAAACGAAAGTGTTTGCATGCCAATGAGACCTGATTCACCGAGAGCTGCGAGGTTCAACAATCCAGCCCAGGGAATAAGATGCTGTAAAAGTCCTTTTCTCTCACTTTCACTTAACTCCTCCTAGGAAAATGTTATCTGCTTTTTTAACAACTCCAGCGTACTCAGCAAGAGCAGAGCCACCAAGACTATAACAGCTTGAACATTACTTTAATATCAGCCTTGTTAGAAATTGTTAATAACATTTTCATTATACTACAAAAAGCATAACAAGGCACATGTTAATACCATTTTGAACATTACACAAATAGGGGATTGGAAGAGTAATCCACTTGCTTGGCAAAGGATGTAATGGCTTGAAAAACAAGCCATTGTTATTCATTTTACAGTCATTTAGAAAAAGACTGAAAATGAAGGGTGTGTGTTTTATTGTCCTCATTTTAAAAGGGAAAAATGCCTGATACAAAAGAGCATTTGGTAGGGCTTGGAGCATTTTGGCTGGACGATATGGCAAAAAATGGAAAAAAATCATAACAATTTCTTTCCTCATTGATCAAGCTTTTCAGTCCATTTTATCCCTCCAAAGCCTGCTCCAGACCACATGCTTCTACAGCATTGATAAAAGTCATACTTTGAACCAAAAAAAAAAGCTCTGTTGATTTTCTAAAATATTTTAGTTTCCCTCAAATCACTTGAAAAACCTGAAATCTAGGTTAAATCCAAAAGTTTAAAACCTGAATAATGCCACAAGATACCTACATCTATCTCTGCCCATTTCACTGTTACCTACAGTTATTCCAAAAAAATTCCCTTTTTTGGTCAGAGATGTAGAGTATGAGCAGAGATATATTATGTTACCATTATTCAAAAATAAAACACGTAAAAGACGTAAACACTGCCTGTTACAGTGAAATGCCACTCTGAAGAGGCAGGGCCTATCAGCTCTGCAGTTTTGAACAGGAAGCCAGTGTATCTAAAATCTATTTCTAATATTTTACACTTAGATCAATAGATCATTTACAATTAACAAAATGATAAATAAATACTAAATATCTCAAAAAGTAACTTAACTTAAAGTAACTTGTGATAAATTAACTGGACTTTACCACATACAGTATAACCTTACAAGTTTTCCGTCTTGTTTTTGTTCATTACGGTGAGGATTTAGACCTTTAACCTTCTTTACCCTCATACCAGGCTTCAATTTTCTTGTGTCTTTGTATCGAACAATGTGTAAGCCCCAGTCAATCCAAAAACCCTGCTTATCTGAGCCAAGCCATTTCTATCCTGTGGTCCACTGCTGCAGGCTGGACCACCTTGTTTTCTATTGATTAGGTCTTTGCTCTGTGTACAAGAGCTGCCAGAGAGGGGAATGAGGTTTCACTACACCACCATCAGAGGGCTCAGCCTATTGATAAGTGTTGTATGAGCTGAAATCGAATAAAAAATAAACATGGGTTGATTTTGATTAAGATTTGTTTTTAAAGGTGCATTGTGTAACATTTTTAGTGGAGAGTCTACCACCTGCTTGTCTCAGTGGAAATTGTATTGATGTGTCTAGAATGTTCCACAGTATTTAGTAAACCTATACAATTCAGATCTGTGGAGAGTCGCCCCATTCACAGAAGGAATTGATGTATTTTTGAGCAATAGAAACATCCATAATGAATAAATGCTGGCTGTATATGTTTAATGTCATACCATGGAACATTCCAGGCTAAGCAATAACATCTCCATGGAGACAGGTATGTAGCAGTAGAATCTTCCATCAGAAAAGTTTCATAGTGCCCCTTGCAGTGCAGCAAAACATTTTTTTAAAAATCCACTTCATCATTGTTGAAAAGTAGAGTGCCATCAGTTGAGAGATCTTTGCAAACCAGAGCAAACACTTGTCACAATGGCTTCGTGCCACAGTACAATCTACCCAGTCCCAAAAATCACCAGATTATCTTCTACATTCACAGTGGCAAAATACAAGCCAAATGAGAGGCTGTTTGAGAACGTCAGAACAACAGAATGAAGACTGCAGCACTTTGAGATCCACATAACCCTTTATTACAACCACCACAAAACAATACTCAAGGTTTGAATGCAAAATGTCTCTTTTTAACACAGTTTAGCAGGCTGCAGGGCTCTTCTCTCTCTACAAATGAATGCCAAAATAAGATGTCTGCTGCTGAAAAATGGCCCATGGGAGATAACTGTTTTAAGACTAGACTATATAAATGTATGCATCACTTTTAAAAGACTCTGACTATGAAAACACAACTTCAAACATCCACTAGAGGAAATTCTAAATATGCATTATAAATCATTTAAAGCTGGAGTATTTCACAAATTGCCGTCAAATGAACAATGAAATGAAAGTGCTTGCAGAAAAATAATTATGAAGAAAAGAGCATTTACAAAAAGATTATTGAAGTAAAACATGATATATTACCTGAATTCTTTTTAACAACTACATCAAGATTAGCATGGGGTGACATTCAAATATTGTGTCACATTTTTGCGCTTAAAAGTGCGCTATCTTACTTCTCTGAAAATTAACCTGATTTTAACTAATTTTTCTAAGGCGTAGTGGCCCTAGTTACCATAATTATGCATGCTTTTGCTGTAGTTTTGAGAAATAACAATACCTGTAATGTAATGAAGAAATGTTTGTTTATTGCCATACTGTGGAATATCACTGGCAAAGCAATAAGAAAACATGAACTTAGTGCACCTTTAACAATAATAAAAATTGTAGGGAAAATGTTATATATATTTAAAAAAATTGTGTTTCTCACCTTCCACGGTGGTAGGTCTCTCTCACCCTCATTCAGCTCGGGTCCTCTACCAGAGGCCTGGGAGCTTGAGAGTTCTGCACAGTATCTTTGCTGTTCCCAGTACTGCACTTTTCTGGACTGAGATGTCCATTGTTTTTCCCGGTATCTGTTGTAGCCACTCTTCCAGTTTGGGGGTTACAGCCCCGAGTGCTCCGATCACCACAGGCACCACTGATGCCTTTACTTTCCAGGCTCTCTCCAGCTCTTCCTTGAGCCCCCTGGTATTTCTCTAGCTTCTCCTGTTCCTTTTTCCTGATATTACCATCGCTTGGTATTGCGATGTCAACCACCACTGCTCTGCTCTGTTTCTAATCCACCACCACTATGTCTGGTTGGTTCGCCATCACCATTCTGTCAGTCTGTATCTGGAAGTCCCACAGGATCTTGGCTCGGTCATTCTCCACAACCTTTGGAGGTGTTTCCCACCTTGATCCTTGGG